TGTTTAAAGCGTATCTGTTGTTAACACTGCTGACGTGATGGGCCATGTAACGCTATTTCTAACCACTGGAATGTCACGATTTTTCGCAAAATTAGGGTTGAACTTGAGGTCTTGCGGGCTACTTAAAATCGTTTGCCCAGAGATTTGTTTTGATTTTCTGATAGATTGGGGCCTAGTCAACAGGTAGAGAGTCAATTTGCGAAATTTTAAGTTATATAATAATAATAATAATAATAATAATAATAATCTTTATTTCTTAAGATAAAATCACATATCCTAAGTTACAATATAAACTCAAAAAACTATTGACATATCATATCTAAAAATTATTCTGTTACTAAAAACGTTCTTAAACCTGTCAGTGTAGATTCTAGGGACAGAGACTGACGTATTTCTAAGATTGTACCTCATGTTCTTTTCCTTAGGTAAAAACTGGAAGAACGGGCATTCGGGGTCATTCGATCTTTTTTTGTAGAGTGTCTTGTCCGCCTTCTCTAGCAAATCCCTGATATTTACATTCTTGGACATAAACTTTCTTTTCATACACCGGTCTAAAAAATTCTGTATTACAGAAAGGTCGGAATCTGAGGCACCATAAACCGGCAGAGCGTAAGAAAAATTTGGTAAAACTATTGCGTTAAAAAGGTGATCTACTTCCTCCTGGGACATTCCTTCCTTACGTAAAGATCCTAATACGAATAATGACTTGTTCGCCTTAATTACCTTCGCGCGCACATGACTACTGTATTTACAATTTTGTTGGAAAGTAACACCTAATATGGATAACTCTGCGCACTGCGGTATATTACTAACTGGCGCGATGTCCTGACTGAAACCTTTCTTACGGAAAATAATCTCCTTGCATTTTGTTGGATTGCATGTCATACGATTGCGGCTGGACCAGCTAAGAAACTGATCCACCAAGTCAGTGCGACACTGGCCGTTTCCCCAAAAAGGGACGATAATTGTAGAATCATCAGCATATTTAAACAAGGCTGGGCGACCTTCTAGATTGATCTCCATATAGCACATTGTAAAAATTTGCATTACTTTATCCCTATAATTTTGAACGGCAAGAATTGTCAATAGTGCCTATTTTTAACAATACCTTTTTGGCCACAAAATTTTTACAGCTTTCACAAATTTATCGTCTTATAAGAAAGAAAGGGTCATAAAAACTATTCGTGTTTTTCAAAGGCTGCCAAATAGTTGTGGTTTGACGTACCAGTCAATGAAATTTGTGTAAAATTTCGCTTTACCGGAAGTGGATTGGATGTTAGGTTTTATCCGTCGTTCACTCAGCAGCAGGAGCGATCAGTTTCCGCCAACATTTAGATCTCTCTACGTGACCCTTGTGCGTTCGCATTTGGAGTATGCCTCTGAAATCTGGAGTCCAAAGTCTGTCAAATTAATAAAGCTTGAGGGTGTCCAACGACGTGCTACGCGGCTTCTCGTACCTAATTTAACTTTTAATGAACGCCTTCAGCAGCTCAATCTTCTCCCATTGGCGTACCAAAGAGAAGTTAAAGACAACAACATTTTATAAACTGAAGTGTGGTTACTATAACTATTCAGTTAAAAGATATTTTGACTTTTGCTCAGACAAAAGATTAAGGTCATATTCTAGTAATAAGTTAACAATTAACAAAGTCACAACCGAATTATTCAAAGGCACTTTTTTCAATAGATTACCATATTTATGGAAAAGCTGCCTGATAAACTCAGGACCTCTAATTTAAGCCTATCATTATTTAAAAAACAATGTAACGACTATAAAAAGAAGAACTTCGACCCTGACCACCCGCATGTCACTTGGATGTAGTGATTGATGTAACAATTATTTTCTGATTAGATCAATCTAGGATATGACATTATAGTTTTTACATTTAAGATATAATTTTAACTTTTTTTCGTTATTTAAGTGTCTGTTGTAGTTTTTGGGTGGACTAGCTCGAATGGTTCGTATGTTCCCTTCTAGTCCTTCCCCACTGCAATAATTTTTTTCCTAGTATGTAGTTAATTGTTCTCTCATGTAATTTAGCTAAGTTTTCTTTATATATATATATATGTATATGTTTTATGTGTGATACCTTTGTTTTAACTAATGCATTGAAGATGGAATAAATTAAAAATTAAAATTAAATTAAATAGTAATTCTGGCAAAATTACTACTTTGCAAAATGAGTTCTAGTACCATCGATAAAATGAGAAGGCTCCAGACTCTTCGAAATATTAATCTTTTTCTAGGTGGACACAATTTGTTTCAGACGAAAAGGACATATCTGCTAACAGTGAAAAAAAACCGCCATTTTGCAAAATAGTAATTCTGGCAAAATTACTACTTCGCAAAATGAGTTCTAATACGGCCAATAAAATGAGAGATGCCCAGACTCTTCAAACATTAATCAATTTATTGGCGGATACAATTTGCTTCGGACAAGGATATATTTGCTATATAGATGTGAAAAAACGCCATTTCGCAAAATAGTAATTCCACTGAAATTACTACTTTGGGAAAAAGGTAAAAATCTGTCACTTTCTGTTAACTATTACTTCCACACACATTCTCAATGTTATCTTAAACTGTGTTTGCTTAATAACCATGTTTTCTCCCTCCCATATATTTTGTTTCGTTTCGTTTCGTAAAATAGAATAAGCCATGATAGTGTGGTCTATGTTTTGTCATTAGCAATGGAAAATTTGATTTCGTTCTTGATAGAATCGATTCATACTAGCAGATACCCTCCTAGTCTGCTGAGCGCCATACAGCAGCTAGTTGACAAGCTCTTGCACCAAGTAACAGCCATCGTGTTTTGGAGGAGATGCCGAGTGAAAGAGAAGTGAAAAATGCACAAGCAGAGCAAACTCCCCAAAACAGAACAGGAATATTCACACAACACCAGCTCTTTGGCCTTGAACTAGAATTTGAACTAAAAGAAATTGTGTCAAGTAATGAAATTTCCAATATTTCTCAAAGACTGCAACTTAGTGAACCCCAAGTTAGACCTTAGTTTTCAAACAGACGAACAAAATGGAGGAGAAAAGGAATGCTACGCAGACCTCATGCTCATGCTTTATGGCCATTGATATTTTCATGGTTGGTGGCTTCTAGAGAAGCCGTTTTTTCTACTAGCCTTAGCTTTCAAAGCTTAAGACTGTCAATTATCTGCGCTATTTTAGCTGAAAAGCTGTCTTTTTGTTCCTGTTGCTCTTCTTCGGAAAACAAACGTTTCATCACTCATTGGCAGTTTTCTTTACTGTCCAAATTTGTGCCGTGAATCTTCTTCATATGTCTGTCAAGCCTTGAAATGAAAACGTCATAGAAACGAAAGCCAGCAACTCTGCAAGGCTTTCTCTGTTGATTGACATGCATGACTTACAAAAATGATACTTTCAACCTGTGTCACCCATGGAATGCATTTAAAATGATTGAGCTAACAGAAATAATGAGGCAAAAAGATGATTAACCATTCACTGAACTTTTAAATAGATTCAGAACAGGAACCCAAACAGAAGCAGATGTCCAGTGCATTCAATCCAGATCAATTACACACTCTGACTCTAACTATCCACATGATGCTCTACATATTTGGGCAGAGAATCAACCTGTAGATGAATACAATGCAACCAGGCTTAATCAAATACCAGCACAGCAATACACTCTCACTGCAATTGACCAATATCCACCACATGCCAGCAAACAAGATATTGATAGAGTTCTGGCAAGAAGCAGGTCTGAAACAGGTGGACTAGATTATTACATCTTAATAAAGGAAGGCTGTAGAGTCATGTTGACAACAACCATAGACATTCCTGATAGACTTATAAATGGTCAAATGGGAACTGTAATTAAGATTAGACTTAATGAAAATACTATGATTGTAACCCACTTAAATTGATGATGCAATCTTTAAATTTTGAGCAAGTAGTAAAAGAACCAACTTTTATTTCCTCTGGCACCTTATTAGATCATATTTACCTGAAATCTTCCAGATTTAATATACTTGAAAATAAAGTGATCAATGTGTACTATTCTGACCATGATGCAATTAAAATTAGTATTCAAACGATATAGCTAACAAATACCATACATCATGTGAAACATTTTAGTTATAATAACATCATAAACATCAAGATACTCTCTCTATACTAGGATCAATAACAATTATTCATAATAAACTATACAAAGCAAAATCCCATCAATGATTTTCTTAGAAAAATAAAACAGAAATTCTAAACTTTTACACAAAACTTTAAAAAGCATAGCGAAAATTCAAATATAAACAACAAAGGCTGGTATGACAGCCACTGGCAGACAACAGAAGATCTTGATGACAGTACTTCATAAAAAAAAAACAGGTTTGTAGCCAATTTCATTTATTATACCCTTTGAACACCAATGATACATTAAACAAAGACTTTGATACCATAAAATAACAACACAATAATATATTTCAGGAAGGAAAATAACAAATGTACCTGTCCAGCACATTACACAGTATAATCCAAACAAAACAGCCATTTCACAAATATTCAAAATTGAAAGGTAGGAATCTACTTTCTTTAATATTAAGTATATATAATTATCAAAACTCATGAGTACAAATAAGTTTATTATATGGATATCAATGAGAAAGAAGGTTTCTCTAGAAATATTCACATTTTGTGAAGATATCACGCAAACGTATATTCAACAAATCTCTTCTACGACCATAACCACAAAAACGGATCAAAATCAAGAATTCTGGACCAATCAAAATCAGCAATTACATAAAACTGACCAATAACAACACAGATGTAATGGACCAATAACAAATCACCTTGTCGACACAGAACAACCCACAAAGTTCCCTCACGGGTAAGTGCACAGTATCAACCAATCAGCTTGAAACGTATCTTGATCCTAAAAGGTGAGAAAAACTAAGCTCCTGCACATAAGTAGCCAAGATCACATACGCAAGCTCACAGCCATAACAACTCTGATACTTGAAAGCTGTAAAATGTCGTCCCCTCTCAACAAGACAAGCAGTAAGCGTAAAAACAAAGAGACACTCATAGGATACGCACAAGACGTATCAGAGGTGAAAAGAAACCGAAGCAATACCATGGATTATGTAACCATGAGAATCGAGACGTCGCCAGTAAAAACGTGCCAAGCATTACTGTACTCTCCTCAGAAATGCAAGATCTTAGTTCACAGCCAACAAATGAAGACGCCAATCAAAATTAAAGATTACGCAAGAAGAAGCGACGATAAAATAGTAATCAATGACATGACATACGTAGGTCAACTTACAGCTGGCGAGCACTCATTTCAGTATACCAGAGGAAAAGCAAATTGCTACAAACATAATCGCCATACTGAACGAAGGCAAAGAGTGGGACAGAGTTTCCTTAAAAGCGAAAGTAATTCAAAAAGAAGATGCCATCCAAGTCGGATCGAAGAAGCTTAAGCTGGCCATCGCCACCTTGGCTGACTCGACTGCTTCGATCCCTTTAGATATATGGGAAGAACATATTCAACGCATTGAAATCGGACATATCTACCTCATGTAACCTGTGCAAGTAAGGGTATGGTCCAACAAAACGAAACTGGGAACCCAAAAGAACACTAACATTACGCAAATAAAAGAAGACCAGGGAATAACCAATGTAGAAATACAAACACAAGAAACCACCGAACCACAAGAAACTATCAGGGTGAGACGCTTCAAGAGAATTCAAAAGTTCGACGAGTTCAGCAAATGCCCGGACTGTAGTAGATGCCTTGCTGGGATGTGCCAAGACACCGTTAAATGTGAACAGTGCGGAAACATGCAAAGCGATGAATGTTCAACGGGGATGACCGGTAAAATTGTCATGGATGATCAAGACAACAAACTGTCTGTAAAGATGGGCGACCAAGTTCTTGGCCAACTCGTTGACAAAATCTTGAATCAAGACGAACAAACTTTAGCACAAAAGTTGCTTTTTGTTGAAAATGTTTCTATCACTTACAACAAAGACACTTTCATTGTTTCTAAAATCAAGTAGACATTTCCTTGGCTTTTTTTTATATTGAGCTTTCTATACGCACGATCAGGACAAGTTTGAAATCGAATATTTCATGTAAACGAACAATTTTTTAAAAAGGTTTTTAATGTTATAACGAAATAACAAGAATACATACTTCAACCATTGTAAGTACAATGTTTGAATAATAATAACTTCAGAAAATTGTAATATTATTATAAGTTGATTGACACAATAACCATTAAAATTACTTACATCTATGCAGGTGTTCAAACTTTTTGCTGGAAAAACCTCTAAATTTTGCGGAATTGTTTTAGAATTATTAGCAAAAATGTAAATATGCGGAAATTTTCTTAGTTTTTGCCTCATCGCGTGGAATGCCCAGTCACATCCAGGAATTTAACAGGCTAAAGCCGCATTCAAGCCACGATTTGGTCTTTAAAATATGGCGGAATAATCAGACTGAAGCGACTTTGAGAGTTTTTTGTCTCTGATTGTGAGTTACTGGTAAACAAATCTCAGTGGCTACCACGGGAATATTAATATCAAAAAACATCAAATTCAAGATCTTACCTTCGATTAATGCCAGCTTATCGGATTTCACTGGGTTTTTTTGCGCTAAAAACCAACCAAAAAATCGCAATTTTTGTATGGATTTTCACTTGCTTAGACTTTCGCGGAAAGATTACAACCAAAGTTTGCCAAAATCGTGAACAGTACCACCTGATATCATGACATCTCTCGTCTGTCTTTACTACCACCAGTCTTTTAAACCAAAGAATGTGATAGAAACTGGGTTTTTTGTTTTCCTTTGAATTTGACCTAAACCCGTGAGGGGTAGCCAGTGCTAAGAAAATTTCCAGAAAACGTCACTGAAACCCAAAAAAAATTCTCTTTGTTGCGACCACCATCTTTTTTATTTTTTCAAACTTGCTTCCAGTTCTCTTTGACCGTTTTGTTGTTTTTACCCATGTATACTTCATTTCGAAGTGTCATGGATAAAAACAGCAAAATACTAACCCCCACCCAGACGGGAAATTTTTTCTTGACCTCAATGGACCGGGAATTCTATGCAACATTTTTATTTCAGGATAGCTACATGGTACAAGTGAACTTTTATCTCAGGTTAATTTTGAATTAACCAGCGATGTTTATTCTATTCTATTATTGTCTCCTAAACCTAGAAGATAAAGGCAACTGAGAATCAACCAACGTTAAACATTTCAGCAATGAAAATCTGCGCGATAGGGCAAATGTATCCATCTAAACCTTGCCCTTTTTCCAACAGCCCCTAAAAAAACTGTAACTGTCAAGCTGGCAATGGGTATGTAGTTAAAAGTTATGATTGTATTTTACATTTGTGGTTCACAACGGCCTGGCATACTCCTTGAAAACTCCTTGAATTTATATAAGCAAAGCATGAATGTTACATTCGATAATGTAAATCACCCACGTTGATTGGCAATTCATTACATGGTATAATGAAATCAAAAATTCTATTTAAGTTTATTGCAGGGTCCAAAACCACCTGTTGTGGAGGCCCCCTCTCCAGGCGTTTTGCTTCTCTGTTTAGCGCTCACAAGTGTATCTCGGAGGCTTTTGGTTCGTCTGTATACTATTACTGCTGGTTCATGAAAATGCGAGGTAACCTTTCTTTCAGTTGGAGGAAGTGCCAGTATGTAGTCGCTCTTTCAGCGATAAATGTGGTATGGGGATTGTGTGTAGTTACTAGGGGAATATGATTGGCCCCTATACCTGGCGTGCAAAATCTCTTCCTGCATGAGAGAGAGAACTCTTCACATATCGGTTAGAACCCCATTTCTTATCTAGCCGCAAGAGACCAAAAAAGTGCAATATTACGTTATCCTCTGTTCTAGTATGTCGTTTGATAAGCATATCCTCCTAAGTCTTAAGGCCTAGCTGCACGGAATGCTGTATTTCAAATAATGGGGATGCGCCAAGGTCAAGTGTAGGTATGGGTGGGTGTCTGTGGGTTTCTGGCACACATCAGTACGTGTTGATGTCACCCATCGAATTCTTTGACCTTAGTATCAAGAAAGTTCACGGAACTGTACAAGATTTCGTGCATGAATTTAATCAGCGATACCGCGCTCTTAAGATACTCTATAAATGCTGTAAGAGAGTCTTTGCTTCCTTCCCAAATTAGAAATATATCATCAACAAAACGTACCCAGTCAGTATTATAATTAAATCATTCTGTCTGGTAAACAAATTTATCCTCTAGTTGGCCAATGTATATGTTTGCGAAATTGGGAACAGCTCTAGTGCCCATTGCGGTACCCTTGACTTGAATGAAATTCCCATCTTTTCATGCAAAACTGTTCAGTTTAGGGACTTTCTCAAGGAGGCAAGTTAATGTCTCAGCTGAAGGATTGCTCGGCCCATTTTTTTGAAGTTCCTCCTTGACTATGGTTAGTCCCTCATCTATGTCTATATTTGTATATAGACTGGAGACATCTAGTGTAACTAAAATACTGTTTTCGGGTACTCATCCTAGCACTTTCAATCTTCTGATAAAATCTGTGGTATTTGTTATGTGTGACAGCAGTTTTTCTGCCAGCAGTCTAAGAAATGTATTCACATAAGTTGATAATTTCTCCATATGACTATTAACAGAGGAGACCACTGGAAGTCGCGGATTGTTGGGCTTATGGATCTGCATATATATATAAATAGAGAGAAGGAGAGAGGGATCAATCTTAAGGAATACCACGCTCCTGATAATATCAATGAAATAGAACAAGACTCGAGTTACCACCACTCAGTGCTCGAAAAGTAAAATAAAAGAGATCACCAAGGGTATTATAGACCATCGAGAGAACCTTATCTGAACTCTTACGTGGCAAAATTGAGACAGGACATCAGGGAGAGGTTAGCATACAACCACTGATTTCAGCGTGACGATCTTAACAAACGAGAACGGGTAGCTTTAAAAAGACTAAGTAACAATAAGGATATAATAATAAAACCTGCAGATAAATAATGGTGACTGGTGACAGGGCGGAGCCACAGTAATTTTCGACACAGGGGATTACATTACGGAAGTCATGCAGCAATTAAACCATGAGGAGTATTACAAGAGAGTAGACGAAGACCTGACTTCACAGCACGAACAATTGATTACCCAATGTATCAGCAACCTGATAAATAATGGTGACTTAGATGTGGATACAGGCCAGCTTTTAAGACCAGCAAACTCAAGAACACCAATTTTTTTACATGCTTCCCCAAATCCATAAACCCAATAATCCAGGACGACCTGTTATCTATTCCATTAACAGCCATACGGAGAAATTGTCTGCATATGTGAATGAGTTTCTAACACCCTTGGCACAAGCACTACCTTCTCACATCAGAGATACTACAGATTTCATTGTACTACTGAAAAACTTGGGCAGAGCTCCTGAGAACAGTATTCTCGCGACATTAGACGTTTCCAGGATATGCTCATCAACGCACGTACTAGAGCAAAGAATATTGGAATATTCCAATTTTTTCCGTTTCGTGTGGGTATAAAAGAGATAGGGTGCTATCTGAAATGTGTAAAGTTCTGTCACTGACACAAGACACAAGTTTGCGGGCGAGAGGGAGGCACACCACCAACCACATACCCTTAGTAACCACATACAATCCACTCAGCTCATACATTGCTGAAGTGGCGAACAGGAAATGGCTCTTCCTCCAATTAAAGGAAAGACTGGCTCACATATTTAGAGAACGATCAATTATCGCATATAGGCGATCAAAAAGTCTATGCGACATACTGGTCAGTACCAAATTAACAGGCAGAACCCTTGAAGAACATACCACCACAATGGGTAGCTGTGGTCCTTGCAATAAATGTAGTTGGTGCGTGCTTATAAACAAGACCTCTACTTTTACGGGCATGGGGTAGGATGGCAAGGCGTTTGACGTATTCCATACAGTGAATTGTCAATCAACCTTTCTGATTTATATAATTGAGTGTCGAATTTGTAGATTACAATATGTAGGGAAGAGCGAGACAGCTTTCAACCTGCCACTTGATAATCACAGGAACCATATTAAGAGAGGAGTCAACAGCTGTGAACTATCAGAGCACTTTCTCCACAACAGCAAATCTCATGACTTTGGCAAAGACGTTACAATTATGATCATTGAACAAATTAAATTAAGGTCTGTACTAATATAGTGAAAAAACGTCTCACAGACCTCAGCTTAAGAATCAAGACCACTATTCAGCCCGTGTTGATAGGCAGAAAACTCAACGAAGACCTTAAATTTTTGGGAAGTAAAGCCAGCCATTGTTAGCCAACAATGTTTAGTTTATCAATTTCAATGTAAGAGGAGGGTGTAAGGGTTTGCGGTGATGCGGTTTTGCATTATTTTTGGTGCGGTTTAGCCGTAATTTTATTTTAACTCGCGGTATTGCGGTTTCAAAACACTAAGCGGTTTGTGGTTATTACAACCTTTAAGTCGCCGTTTTCGGTAAAAAAAAGTGTGTGCAGTGATAACACTCTTTAGAACGGTCGGCATCCGGTTGTTTTGCAAGCGCAATTTAACTCTGTGGTTTGCAATTACAGCCTTTTCCAGTTAATACTTAATGTGATTAACCGTTTTGGCCAATGATGCGTCGACTTCGTGAAATTCCATGCCTGATGTTAGCTCGTACAG